CACACCAGATCCCAGCGGAGGAAGAAATCAAGAGGAAGCGCTGGAAGTGGATAGGACACACATTGAGGAAAGCACCCAACTGCGTCACAAGACAAGCCCTCACTCGAAATCCTCAAGGCCAAAGGAAAAGAGGAAGACCAACGAACACATTACGCCGGTAATTGGAGATATACATGAGAAAAATGAACAAGAATTGGATGGAACTAGAAAAGAAGGCCCAGGACAGAGTGGGTTGGAGAATGCTGGTCGGCGGCCTATGCTCCATTGGGAGTAACAGGCGTAATTAAATAAATGTCATGAGAGAATTTCATTTAAAAATTGCTTTTTAAATGGAAATACAGGAATGCGCTTGTTTATTTGCGCGTAATTCTTGAAAGAAACTGTGGTGAAATGAAAGATTTAGTCCACTGACCCGAATTGTAGGGCGTTATGTTAAAAGTCATATCCTAGGCGACATCAATCCATAGCACAGCTGCGCTGAAGAGCTTACGTTGTTAGTCCGTAGATCATTTTACTGGTCATCACAAATAAACGATGGATTATTTGGGAGCCGTGTATTGATATACTGTAGGACAGTTGGCCGTAATTCCTGTATGGAGTGACTACCAAGAAAACTTTCGACTTTTGACATTGTACTGAGATTAATCGCAATCCTCAAATAGCTAACTCAATTTTCCTCAGAGTTTTCATTTTGAACCTTCAATTATCGGTGAGTTTTCGTCATATGTAGCTTGCAGTTTTTACCCACATGTCTAGTTTTGGAAAATTTCAAACATGGTGATTTCTTTCTGACTCACTTTGACCTTCGTTATACATGTGAACTGACTAGTTTACCACAACCATGCAAATAATAACTCTCACTACACAACAAATCCAGTATATTTATTTTCCACCTTAGCAACCTGCTCAGCAGCCACTTTTTTGTAAATTACAGAATCACTAAGACCTGTTATGTTATGTATAATGTCGGCGAACCTCAAAGACCAAGTCGCATCTGATTAAATCAGCTCTTAAACAGCGAAAGTTCTTGCTCCAGTCCCTACATCTTTCATGTTTCCATTGATCCTTATCTATCTTATGTGCCTGTAGGAAGAGGTTTGTCCACTTTCTTCATTACACCTATCATTTTCAGCTATTGACACTTATCTGTTAGCCGCAAAGCTTTTATACTAGCACAACAAGCATCCGAAAAACAGAGAGCTTGTTGATATATGGTCTGGGTTGGTTTTATTTACATGTAGTCGTTGGCACCAAAATAATAGACCTGATCCCAAAATCATAGATTTGTTGTGATTTGATTACCTAATCTGTAAGATCTAACATGGAAGTCACATAATTGCCCATACTGACTCATCCTACGTGATAAGCAGCACTATAACGTTTAACACTTTCGAAGGGGCGGAATGATATGTTTGGTATGAACAGAGATAAATTCCATAGAGTGACTGCGTCTCCATCACCTAGCCATGCCATACTAACTAAACGTTTCACGCTCACCGCTTCCGACCTCCAAGTGTTAAGTGTTAAATGGGTGTTCTGCTTCAAGGATCGTGTGATTCAAGAACCAAAATCTCTATAAAATCCATCAGATCAAATTTATTCTGTCTGTCGTCGTATTCCACAGATTCAATTTAAAAAGTGACTAGTCCCAAATTTCAATCGTATCTAGCTCAACATCTGCTTCATTATCATCAAGCAGTTAACCAGACAAACCGGAAGTATCTATTGAATGATTACTCAGTCAGCTAACAGACAAATGTCGATATTTCTCCACAAACAGAACCATAAAATAGGGAATACTCGCTCGTAGCAAAAATTTCTGAAGTTAAACTCGAACCAATTTTCAATTAGTATGAGATCAAATAAGAAACTCGGAACCAGATAGTGAACTGGAAGATGTTAGAAACCAACCCCATTATTTCAGCTGGAGTAGAACGGAAATTGGAAACTGACAGAAGCCAAATAATAAGAATATAAGCCCGCTAATTCAACCACGCACTGACCGAGGAGATATGACAAACAATCACTTGGCGTACAGATTTATCCATGTCACTTGAAAGCTCCAACCCGTCGCACTTGCTAGAAGTGTTTGAGAGTCACAAAAATCAGTTGCAACAACAAAAACATTGGTAATTCCGTTTGCCATTCTTTCTGATATTCCACTCCAGCTATGGTGCATGCGGACTTCGAACAAATGAATAACACTGACTAAAGAATGAAATTCTAGTTTGTATGGACAAAACCCTAGTTTCCATGCTGTCATGCAGTCGATACTGTTTTTTGCAGGCAATAAGCCTATTATTGATGAGTTTGTGAGCACTAAACCTTAGCCAGTATGACAGCCTAAAGGTTTTGTGTATGGCGGATGAAGACATAACGCATGACTGACCACACAAGATTATTCTCAAGAAGATTCAGTTATCTATCATGGTCAACAGAGTTTTCCTTGTAGAATTATGGCACAAGTTCGTTGTTATTATTTTTCTAATAATAGACTTAATCATAATGTTGTAGATTTGTCATGATGTGACTAATTATCCTATAAGATCTTACGTGGAGGTCACATCATAGTCTACACTGACTCATCGTATCGTGACAAATAGCAAATATGATGCCTCTGAAAAACACATTTGGGCTGAACATAGAATAATATATTCAAAGTGAATAAAGACATGTTATACAGAATGACCACGTCTGCCAGGATGAGCTATGCCATTTGATTGAATTAATTAATTATTCCCGCCTTCTCTAAGTTTGGTCTTCTCTCTGTGTCAAATGCTGAATATATATTTTCCCAGTTATCTCGCGTTCAGCTTTGGAGATTGTGTGGTTAGATCCCAACGCCACTACATGCTCACTCAACCAGAGTATCCTAAAATCTGAAAGAATGGGATCGCAATAACTACTGCAAAGATTTTAACGTGATTCCATTCATAAGGCAAGTCACCTGTGAAAAAAAATCTGTGAAGAACTCATTATTTTGTTAAGTGAATACAACATTAAGAAGTTTTGAACTTTTGGTTTGATAAAACTGCAACCTACCCCATAGCCTTGCCTTTTCAGGTCACCGAAGGTACTATTTCAGTCAAACGGAAACCCAATACCACTTCCCTAATGTCAGTATCGGTTTTTTGATTTCTATCTAGAGCAAAGAAATAAAACAAGTTGGTATATATCACACCCATGGAGAGCATTGTCATGTAAATATAGTATAACATACAAAATCGTCTGCTCATTCAGTTGCTTACAGGACCATATTTAACTACTGTTTCAAGGATTTTACTTCATGGTTTGAAATTTATGCATTTCCTGCCAGTGATTGAGCTCTCAAAACTGTATTACGATGTAATTGTCCGGCTATAGTTTGTATTATATTTCACTAGTAAGTCCATAAATTGTACGTTCATTGATCGGAGGTCGATACTGTGTAAACAAAAGGAGTTATAAGAGGATATGAAGCAATATTTTGTCCGTTTAATCGCGTGAAACCCATATAGTAAGCGCAATAACTTTCAAGTGAAGGTATTTGAATGTCTTGATCCAGGTATTGCAGCAACCTGTATCGCTGGATAAGCCATGGTGAGATCAAACAGAATAAATTTAATGTGAGTAACCACTCAGCCTAATGATTGTAAGTGGTCAGATGTATTGGTTTCCTTTTTTGCTTATCCCGGTCTACGGAGCTTGATAGAAAAATGAACCCGCTGATGGCAATATTACGCACACACCACCACACTGAATCTCTTTGACCTTGTACGACTATGTCCTATTCATTCATCAATTATAATCCTTCAGGTTTGTCATAAACTATGTTACACTTTTATTCACTGTTTATCATCTAGTAACTGTTAGGTGTGTTATTTACGTTGCCGTTTTTCCCTGTTCGAGATTGTCTTAGCTGTTTTTATTTACTGAGTCAAATTATGCTTTAAAAACAAATATGGTTTATCGATTCAGTTGTCGTGGTCAACAAGGATGCACCTATATACACGTGATATGGTCTTTAAATCAATTACAGATTATATTTCGTTGCAAGCTGCCTCATTACACTCATAATGTATTTACTTACATCGAAAACGGATATTATTTCCGATTTCGTCGTCTCTGCGTAAAATGTGTTGATTGAATATTTTAGGAAAGATATCAGGTGAAATCTAAGTGATACAAACCACAAAATGTATGCAACATTGAGTGAAACGGTTATTCATGAAGTCAGCAACCCAAATTTCACAGAATAAGGACCCACATGCATAAAAACATCATCGCATGAGAGTCAATGATTGTTGTTCGAATTTCTGGATGAATTAGAATAGGGTCTATTATTCGCTACTTTAACCGGCATTGAGACTCAGTCTGCTGATATGAGAAAACAAGGTTCGTTTATGTGTAGGCTTTTTATTGTTCACCCGTTCCACAGATATTCGGCTGTAAAAATGACGTCATTATAAACTAGTGAGTCATCATACCATTTTATCTGGATAATTTTACTAAGCTTGCTGATGCGTAAGCACACCACTTCTGTCCTACGTGCACTGAATTTTAAGCGTCTTCTGTTTCGAAATTCTTTTATATGATTGGGACAATCATAAAAATATATGATTTCTTATTGAATTTGATATTCATGTCAAAAATGTACCGCTGCAACATTGTAGAATATCACACTCAACTTCTTTTACACTTTAGATGAACTGGTGTGTTTTGTCCAGTGGCTAAACAGGAATATATGAAAGGTATAAATTTTCATTACCTTAATAAACAAATATTTTCAAAAACGGTTTTGATATCTTGGTTTATGTACTTTGTATGAACGTCTTGTATTCGAAATCAAAAACCAGAGCGGACTCAAAAACAAAATGACCATTAGTTCACACTAACATCACACGGTCTCTAACCACATCGGCTCACTCTCACTAACACTCATCTACAGTAAAAGTATACAGCGTAAACTCAGTTCAGTCGACTGATGGACCTTATACCAACTGGTCACAGGAGTTCATTTCGTTAAATTTTTGTTGTTATTCCAAGATGTCTGAATAATTCGCATAGTGTGACTAATTTTCAAGAGATAGAGACTTACCTACACTTTTTAAATGGACTATCTTTAGATTCTGAAGGTTAACCTACCGGTTCAAAGTGGTTCGTCATGATCGGGAGGTTGTGTGTGTTTTCTCGGTTAGCTTGTCGGAGAGCTGTTTATATATTCCGAGAGTTTTGTGCTGAGGCAGAACGTAACTGGTTTTTAATGCTTTCACTGTTTTCCAAGTCTTGGTAGAAGATGGGAATAAATCAAGAAGTTGTAAACCTATACGCCCTTTATATTTTGATTTTCAAGCGTCTACACAACTGGTAAATTTTATGTTGCGATTCACTGTTGAATAAAGGATCCTCGCGTCTTAGATGCCATGTTGCCGTTTTATATCAGTCATTTTGGTAACCCTCATTCACGCACACATGAGTATGGTTGGTATTGCGAAGAAGCCATTGAGAAAGCTAGAGAGGTACTTTCTATTCCTCACTTTTTAAAATCTTTTAGAACGTAGCCAATCAGATAGGTGCTGACCATAAAGAGATCATTTTCACCAGTGGTGCGACAGAAAGTAACAACTTAGCTGTAAAAGGTGTTGCTAAGTTTTACCACCCAAAGAAGAAGCATATTATAACTACACAAATCGTAATGAATTAGAGAGTAATTTTATTTGTATTTTAGGAGCATAAATGTGTCTTGGATTCCTGTAGAGTTTTGGAAAACAACGGGTTTGATGTTACGTATTTACCTGTTCAGAAAAACGGAATTCTAGATTTGGAGGTACTAACATTCTTTTTATGATCTATTATAGGTTCTGGAACGGTCTATTAAGCCCGAAACGAGTTTAGTCTCTGTCATAGCTGTTAATAATGAGATAGGTGTCCTTCAGCCTATCGAAGAAATCGGAAGACTATGTCGAAGTAAAGGGGTTTTCTTCCATACTGATGCTGCACAAGCTTTCGGAAAAGTGCCAATTGACGTCAATGCTATGAATGTAGGTTTCTATCTCACCATTACTGCTTCTTTTGAGGCACAGATGCGAAATGTTTTAGTTTCATTTTTATTTGACGATTCTGACTACACCCAATCAAAAATCATGACGGTTTATCCTGACATAAGCTGGTATTCATGAATAAAGTAGTTTCTGCTAGCCATCGTTTTCGTTTTTAATTACCTAATAGATGATTTTTAAAGGTCAGTTTGCCACTTTTCTGGACTTAGGGTTGAAGAATTGCAGTTTCTGTTGGTACTCCCTAGCCTGACGGTACTTTCCGTATCCGTGGAGCATGTAGTCATTTGAAAAGTAGCGAGTTTTATGTGCCCTCGAAGTGTTCAGATTGCGAGGTTAGGCCATTGAAGAGTTTTTTATGGTCAGTAAGTTTATGTTTGAACTAATAAGCTATATTATCCCTAGACATGCTTCAGGTTGTCTGGTAGTTTTCTAGTTAATCTGACAAGAACTTTTCGTAATGAAGTATGAATTTAGATACATTGTCGTTCTTAAAAGAAAGGTATACTCACTAATATGAATACACGGTGATTTAGTGTATCAATTCAATTCGTCGTGGCGAATTCATCAGCCAGTTTGTAGACTGTATTAAAATATTTATGCGGATATCTGTAATTACTCACAAAATGTCTGCACAGTGTCACTCCTTAAATTTCCCCTTTGATGACAATAATATGAGTTTTGGTAATCACTAATGTGTTACTACATGGCAACCTACGTTTTACAGTTATAAATTTATTTATTGACATTCATGTACTTCACAGTAGTCTGAATCGAGACTGTTTCTTTACAGAATGTAATTACATTTCATCGTAAACTGGTTTCTTACAAAAGATCAAGCTATACTTGGTTGGTTTTTCTAAATATTCCCCAGATATTTCATACTGCCTCTCGTTAACTACTTGTCTCGTTTTGAGCCTAATAATATGATTAGTCATCCATACATAATGACCCTGGTTTTAAGATTGAAGGAAACTCCATCAGTATGTGTGTTATCCCAAACTCCTTATATTTGTTTAGTAGCTGGATCTGTAATATCATTGATTACAATCACTTTTGTTACTATTTAGCACACTGGAGATTTTAACAACTAGCTTATACAATTAGACGTCCTGTAGTCTACTATAAAGTAGATTTGATTGCATCTTCCACACTAAGTGTTTACCATCCCGATAGGCCAGTTATTTAGCTACCTTTTACAAAGATCAAACCATTTTCCTATCCTCACAATAAAACTTGCTAAGAGGCATTTTTGTAAAATTACTCTCGATCTATTTATTGTCAACACCTTGTTACTATTACTGACTTAACCCCCACAACACCCGCGTCTATTGATAGAAATTATCAATTATAAAGTTATCAGTAAACTATATGTGTTGAAAAACTAAGATGGTTTAGTATTTAATAGATGTGATTTTCAAAAATTGACTGTCCACCTAGCGGTATTATGACTTGTCTAACTTAGAATTTTTTATAAGCATTGGTGCCACAGTCCAAATGATTATTTAAGTGTCTTACTTGGATTTTTCATATTATCAATATCGTCACTTAGTCAATATATGAAGTTCACTCTAGCTATAAATTATGAAGTTAACTACCAAATCCCAGGATTTTCCCAACTCATTGAATTTAACGAGGTTTCTTCTTACATGCTTGCACTGTATGCATTAATATTCAGTAATCACTTAATTTTGTGAGCGTAAATATCACTGTGTAATGGTTTATTACTTTTCATAAGCATTACATTGTTGTGATGTGATAAATTTAAGGATATATTTTTGTGGAACTCCTTTCAGATTGATCTCATGTCCATTAGTGGTCACAAGATATATGGTCCCCAGGGGATTGGTGCTCTCTACGTACGTCGTCGACCCAGGGTTCGATTAGAAGCTCAGCAAAATGGAGGTGGACAGGAACGTGGGTTAAGATCTGGTACTCTTCCTACGGCCTTAGTTGTTGGCTTAGGTGAAGCAAGCCGTTTGGCCAGCGAGGAAATGAAAGTAAGTTTTCGAAAAGAATACTATTTACTTGCCATCTAAAAACATGAATAACTTATCATTAGTGTTATTCATTTTGTTTCTTTTATTAGGCTGAGATCTTGCTTTTCAATATCAGTTTTTCCAATACCTTTTAAAGGTTTCTGTCACTCAGTTAATTTATCATGATTAACGTAAGTCACCCTAGTATTGGTGATACAATTTCATGTAATTCTACCTAACACTAACACTGAGATACTTTTGTAAATGACTTTCGAAGTATTAATGAGATTTTCAGACACCCCTCTTTAAGATAGCTCCCAACCAAGGCCGTGTATAACTATTCAAGATCAGTCATATTATCCGGAAACAGTGATTGTCAGCTTGAAATATCCAAAGTGGTTAAGGGTTTGATGGAGTGTGAAAAGTGTTCAATAAACCCACAACCTGAACAAAAACCAGTCCATTTCCTGTGAATCGGTTTTTGTTGCGTCCAGCACACTGGGAAGTGCAATAAGAGACACACTTTTGGAATCATCTATCAAAAAATTCTACTTTAATGTCTATCACCTTTATTTTCTAAGCTGTTTTTTTGGAAATGTACACGATAGTCGTCTCATTTCAGAATAACCTAGTACAGTTTGCCATATCTTCTAACTTATCTGAATGCTATTTAAATCATATGTTTTTTTGGGATTTTAGTAGTTGATGTTCCTTCCAAACTTTCGATTCGTTATAGATATCGAAATTCACTGGATAGTGAGCACATGGATAGATTGATCAAAATTCGTCATAACATAGGACAGTTAAGATGTCTTTTAAATTGTTTCATTTTGCTCTGTGTAGATTTTCAAAGAATGGTAGAGTGTTATTGGGGCTCGTGCATTCGGGTCATCTATTGTAGGAGCAGTTGTATTCTATCTATTTATTATTTATTTGAACACATAAATATTGGTGCAAGAATGCGCCAAATATGTATGCGCCACACAAAACATTGTTTTGTGCAGTTGTATTCTCTAGTCCGATTATTGATTTATTCACCTAGATTGCCTTTATGGGACTAATTACTTGTTAGTCATCGACACAATGATCTTTCTTCGACTATTTCCTCAATGACAGTGAGATAACAACCGAGATGAATAATTAAAGCGTATTGGTCTAGGATACTGTTTTCTATGCTCACTTGCCCGATAGCTAGAATAGAACAAGGTAGATAAATCACTGTAGAGTTCGATTCATAGCTCAAAGTAGCGTGATAGCATGCATTAATTTTCACTGCAGATCAGCATAAATAAGGAAGCACAATATGTGCATAACTACCCCTTAAGTGCGATGGAACTAAGTATTGGGTCCATAATTATTTCGCCATAAATTTAGTAAGGTAAACAAAGGACTATAACTGATGTGCCACATAAAAGCTTACAACCAGGATAATATTAGGTACTATCATCCAAGCGCCTAATAATCATGCAATAAAAACATAAACGATAGTCCTTTATAAGAGTCCCCAAAGTTCTACCTTCACAATATTCCCCTTATTATTAGCAGAAACATGAAATATGTTCATTGCATACTTGATCGAAGTTAGAATAGTGGAATATATATCCCAAAAGAGTCTTCATCCCTGCTCGCAATCTTACCATCAATAACTAATTTCAGTATTATGACTTGACCAGAAGTTGATGCTTGCGCATATTATAATGTGCGCAACTCTGTTAACTATCACAGTATCATAAAGTACGCATTGGCAATCCCAACGGACTGTCTTATGTACATTGTAAGCCTCAAGCTAGTACTACAATATTATGTCTTTCCACTTATTGTATTTCATATCGTTCATCCAGGTAAATAACACTTATTCTCGACTGGTCATAATATGTAGTCCAGTTGACTTTGAGTCTTTCTAAATTATCACTAATGCAGTAATCTGACATGTTTCTGGTCGTAATTGGTTTCTTCTGTGCTGTATAAGCTGTACAATTATGCAGTGTGGATAGGTCAATTTTATTTTCTGTGTGATAATTCATATTATTATGGATCGCAGCAAATATTATGATGTACTCATTTGGTATTTTTATTCTTATCCCATGGGATTGTAAGTGTATAACTTTGTTTAGAGTCACATGAACTCATAGTAATAAAACATTAGGGAAAGTTTAACGATAATAATATGAAATTGTTTTTAGGATTAAAAACGTTAATATTAATTGCATGCGATATAAGTAGCACTGTTCATGTCATGTGAAGAATACTCTATTGAATGGACTTTGTAATCTAATATTAGTTAAACCTTTAGATAACTTGTCCTACTCTGACTAAACAATGCTCTATTTCTGGAAGAACATTTACGAATGTATCAGAGTGACATATTAATATTCACTTTTGCTTAATTTTACCCATCTTCCACCTGAATAATTAGTTCAGTGGCAGAACTGGATAATTTCTACTTTTTCTCAATAGTATTTTCTTATGTCTGAAATGAACAATGTAAGTAGACGAGGTTATGTCAACTCAACTATATTAACAAACACAATTTTATGTACAGCTTATCAGTTGTCTTTTGAAAACATTTCCATCCATAGTAATTAGCTATTTAACTTTTTATCTGTTTTTCACTTATTAACCTTTTTTGTACTGTGTTATTAGTAACTAAAACCTGTCTTTTCGGATATCCATCATTTTTTCAAAACATAAATTCACTGATACAAAGTTGTGCTTGCTTTTAAAAATCAATACAGGATGATTATGAACATGTTTCCATGTTAAGTAAACGTTTAATCGATGGTATCACTTCCAAAATTCAACATGTTACCCTCAATGGTGATCCAATTCAACGTTATCCAGGCTGTGTAAACTTTAGTTTTGCTTGCGTAGAGGGTGAAAGCTTACTCATGGCTTTAAAGAATGTCGCTCTATCATCCGGCAGGTGATTGTAAATTTTTTGTAGTCGTTTTCAAATCATATTTGTTTTTTTGTTGTATGATATATACAAAATCACTAAGAGAAATAAGCCTAACTTAGTGTTTATGTATTTACTTTTAAAGTAATTGTTTTAATTGAATAAAATATAAAGATATTTTAACCCTTGTATTATAATAGTTCCAGGTATTAAGCTGCTTACCAATTTCTCTAGAATTCTGCCTAAAAAAGTTAAAGTTGTTACAATCACTACTAGTTTAATGTTTCAGTCTCCAAGGCAAACTTGTGCTTGTGGGTACTGGGTTTAAGCTTTTATCACCATAGATAAATGACCCCAGAAAAATGTATGGATAGCTCAGTAATCAATACATAAGTAAACTTTCCGCTTTCATAATGCCTTGAACGCACACCATTTAGCAGTGGTTTTGTGACGCTGTAGTTTAGGTGGTTTGAGCGTTGAATTTTGAAGATTATGGGTTATAAGTTTGAAACTAAAGTGCCATATTACCTTTTTTATTGTCAAAGTTTCCTCTCATTCAATAAATATATCTCAAAGTTTATTGCATAAGTGTATTGACATCCAGAAGTTAAAAACGGAACTGTTTTACTAATAACTTCTACGTGTGACATTTATCTGTGTTATATTTCAGTAGAGGGATGATGGTAAAACCTTAAAATATCGACGACTTAGAGCGACTTTAGCGATGACGTCGGTGTTAATCAGTCGAAAATATTTTAACAGTAGAATTCACAAGTCCATCTAAGCTAGACCACCAGTGGAAACCTGGAAGTACTGGACAGCCGTTTGCTCCTAGTATAGGACTCGTGAGCAGTGCGCATCCACCGTCCCTCACGCGATATTCGAACCCAGGACCTTTGGTCTCACGCGTGAACACGTAACCTCTAGACCACTGAGTTGGTATCCAACGGTGTTAATGTCTAACTTCAATCGATTCATGATCTTTCTCAATCCTTCATTGTCTACGGTGAATAACTGTCTCACCCAAAATGAATATATATATATATATATATCGGCTAAGAAATTAAATCAAAAATAGCTTTAATAGAAGAGCTTCAAATTATAGAGAAATGATGAAGGTACTATAGATTGAGTTCTAATAATTAATGAACTTATTAGAAGTAGCTCGATAGTTTAGTCTGCCAATCATGGTACCGTAGTCCGGAAGTACCCTAACTTCTAGCTCTAGAAATGTTAAATCGCATATGAAAAACACCCAGGGTTATAACAAATCACATGTTTCGTGTCATGCCGAGCATAGTTCATGCTAATTTAATACCGAATAAAATATCACATTGGAAAAAAATAAATATGACACTGAGTAATTATCACATTGTATAAAAAAAACGGAAGTAATGTTGAACAAGAAGTCACAATCAGTAAAAGAATGTAGTTTTGACTTTTCATCCTGTCATATCAGTACTTTTATTATTGTTAATTTGTAATTGTGTACAAGGCTCCAAAATGCTCTGGTACGGCCGAGGAGGGGTAGAGTCCGCTATTCGTCTCAAAATGCTCTCACATGGCCATGGTTATACAGCCACTGCCAGGGGAAGTCCTCACTGCCTTCTCGCGGCGTCAGTGTTGTTTACGAAATTAAGAGGGCGAAAAGCGAATGTCCGGCGCTTTAACCGGGTTGGTGGACATGGAAAGTCCGCCTAAGGGAGTTGGAAAACCCTGATTCCAAACCACTGGTGCACATAAGCCCCAGTATCCTGAAGGGACAAACGGCGTATAAACCAATTGTTGGCCACCGACTACCATGGGACTGCATCTCCTTATATTGCTCCACTGCCTTGTGGATCAGACCTTTAGGTCAAAGGCCTGGGATGTGGCCCTCTAAGAAAACCACCTACTTCGGTCTGGGCACCCGGGCAGTATCACAGTCCACACACAAATGAAGCGACTTGTGTGGCGTGTATGTATTCGATGTCCCTTTGTACCGATATTTATATGTTCAAACAAATAAATGAAATCTATAATAGTCATGGCGTTCGAATGCGATTTCCTCCTACAGCGTTTTTCTAATTTGTACTATATATAAGAAATTAAAGCTATCAGCAGCTTGTGTTTCATCCCTCGCAAAAATAATATTCACTGCCCAATCATGTGTATTTATCATTATGGCGATTGCTGATTGTTTCATCGCATCATTCGCTGCAATGTAAATGATAAGTTTTCTTGGTGTCGCACGCAGTTGAAGTGTTCCCAAATCGTTAGATTGTACTAAGTCCTTGTTCTAGATTAAACGTTGACTTTGGCCTGTTTAAAGTGAAGTACAACGGTAGCGAGAAGTTTGAATTACTGAGCTTAATCAGTCAGTCACAACCTGGAATTTAGTACACATGTACATTGGTTCACGTTGCCTCACCTTATTAACAGATTTTATTATTTTTTTATTACACATAAATATTGGTACAAGAGGGCACCAAATATATATGCGCCACACAAAACAATGAGAATTTGAAGACAAGGAAAAAAAGGGAGGAGCGTAAAAAAAGAACAATAACGAACAGATTAGTGTAAGATAGCGTAATAATAATAATGGGGGGAGACGGAAAGGTTCAATTAGAAGAGATCTTTCAGTTAAGGAAGATACAACCACTTTTTATGAAGAAAGTAAAAGAAGGTTACAGAAGGATCGCCACTGGCTTCTATTCTGAGCCATATCTGATAACGTTTCTAGCCACTGCGTCGCACCATCTCTCGGACCCCAGCCAGGGAGTCGTGAAGGACCAACAGAAGCCAGCCCTTTGCAGCGTTCTTTCATACCACGTCATTAACAGAAAGAGACGAAGTTGTCAGGGCTAATCCCAGAATAGGAGAGGTTCAATAATACTACTCAGCATCTCGAACTGATTTAGTTGTAAAGGAATCGGACTTATGACCCAGCGTTGAAAATTGAATGTCTAAAATCCAGTATATAATTCATATCATTAGGAAGGGGATTTTAATCACCTATTTATTATGAATGTTTTTATTGTAGTGAAAATCACCGATGTGTTAGGAGATTGGTTAGATATGTTAGTCGATTTTTTAAAGAACTATTGATTTTATCTATTGGTATACTTTGATCTGTAATCTTGCATTATATTAATTTCATTTTAGTGCATGTACATCCGCTTCACTAGAGCCATCTTATGTTTTAAGAGCAATAGGTACTGAAGAGGATTTAGCACATTCTAGCATTCGATTTGGTATCGGACGATTCACCACTGAAGAGGAAGTTGATTTTACAGTCGCTGAACTAAGTAAACATGTTCAGCGGCTCCGTGAAATGAGGTTAGTTAATTAATTCTTTCAAAATTGCATTTTAGGTACATTATTTCTTGATGTAATTAATGTTTAACCATTTTAAAAGTTCGCTGAATACTGTTTCCAGCATTCACTTGGATAAACAATTATATATATATATATATATATATATATATATATATATATATATATATATATATATATATGCATAAATCTTTATCTTAACGATATTTTGAAAGATAGCTTTTGTTTAAATTCTTTTCCTATATACCGTAAGAAATAGTGTTGATTAAACATATATATTCTATGGAGTTCACTTTGTTGATGCATTGTGATTTACACGTTTTTTTTAATGGATAATCTACTGTGTTTTACATTTTTAGGTTCATTGTAAATAAATGTTTCAAAAAATCCACTTAATAATGCAATTATATATCCAAATCAGCTGTTCATCTACTCATTCTATGTTTAGACTGTATACTATATAAATTCCAGTTGATAGTATGTATGTTTTTCAAATAGTATTTCATTCATTTGAAAAACCGTAAACTTGATATTTTAGAGTATAATAGTCGACTTTCAACCACTGCCCCCAAAATGCCCTGGTACAGCCGAGGGTGGGGAGAGTCACCCCTCCCTCTCGAAATATTATCAAATTGCTACGCGTATACAGCCACCGCCAGGGGAAGTCCTCACTGCCTTCTCGCGGCGTCAGTGTTGTTTACGAAATTAAGAGGGCGAAAAGCGAATGTCCGGCGCTTTAACCGGGTTGGTGGACATGGAAAGTCCACCTAAGGGAGTTGGAAAACCCTGATTCCAAACCACTGGTGCACATAAGCCCCAGTATGCTGAAGGGACAAACGGCGTATAAACCAATTGTTGGCCACCGACTACCATGGGACTGCATCTCCTTATATTGCTCCACTGCCTTGTGGATCAGACCTTTAGGTCAAAGGCCTGGATGTGGCCCTCTAAGAAAACCACCTACTTCGGTCTGGGCACCCGGGCAGTATCACAGTCCACACACAAATGAAGCGACTTGTGTGGCGTGTATGTACTCGGTTACCAATATGAAATTATCTATATATATATATAATTTAGTTTCAAATATATTCAATGTAGTGTAAAGTAAGTTTCCAGCTTTTAAAAGTGCTTTACTTTCCTTGGTTGAATGTTTCCTATCTCTGCTTAACTTTTTTATTGTTTGATTTTTTTGGATTTCAGTCCTTTATGGGAAATGGTATCAGAGGGAATCGACATAAAGTCGATACAATGGACACAACATTGATCATTTGTTTCACTATACTGGAAGTTTCATTGTAGTTTTGTTCTTCATCTTTACCACTAAAAACTTCTATATTCTTTTATTTTCTAAGTGAAATTAAAATTTTAACAAACATTCATTTAACAGTTGGATCATGAAACCTCAAGAGTTATTTTTCTGTTTCTTTGAATAGTTCAAAATAAGTGATATTTATTCACAATTTCACATTGTAAATTAATTCTTATTTTAGTTAATTTCAAAGTAATATATATTTTAGTGTTGAAAGTATTTGAATAGTCTAATAA